GTAGTCGTGTGCGCAAGAAAGAGGAACAACAGAGAAGGATCACAGTTGTAAACAGAAAAAAAACGAAATGATACTCGTGGAGATAATCACAAGTCGCGCACAACCGGGAACTCTGTTGAGCGAGTTGACGACGACGTGGTATCGGTCGCGTGCTCCATCGCTGACGGCACCGTGGAGTCCGCGAGAGTAGTTAACGGTTCCGCGAAAGCCGGTTGAGCGATGACGATGGGGTTGGCTGAAAGAGACAGAGAACAGAGCAGGGTGCAATATCTGGGCTTTGATCAGAAGCACATTTTCACACAATTTTGCGTCCCCGGGGACAAATCATGGGAAGTGAATTCCGTGTGGGTTCAACAACTACAGTGGAGTAAGTGAGTTGATCCTTCTTTAATTCGGATCCCTCTATACCCGTTCCTCTTAGCACAAAAAAAAGAACTGTCATGGCTTACAACTGACTGATTTGTGTTCATACATGCCCGTGATCAAATTGATTGATCGATCGATTGGTTAATCGCTTGACTGACTGTTTGAATGCTAGCTTGACGGCATTCGCATGTACTGCGACGTGTGGGCCGGAGCCGTTCTGTCTTCCTACATACTGACCGTTCCTGCTTGTTCCCCGGTTTGTGTACCGGCTACATATTTGCTCTTTACAATAAACTTACTGTTTCATTCGTTGTGTGCTCATTTGCCTACTAAATCTTCAACACAACAAGGACCGATGGGAATGCTACTCACCTGAAACTGGAAATCGTGCATCCGAAGGGGCGAGCAGTAGAGAAACGTGGCTTCCTGTCTCCGCTGCGGAATTTGTATGAATCGCCTGGGGGTCATTCGATACATCTGATATTGTAGGCTGAGACGGAGGCGGAATGGCGACCTCAGCGGATGTGAATGTGGGCGTGGGTTCGGATATTGCTTCGAGTGTAGATGGCATCGGGAGCGGTGGAGGTGGTGGTAGTGGTGGTGGAGGAGGTGGAAAAAGTTGGTCCAACAATTCGGGTAAGAATTCGGATAACTGTTTTGCAGTTAAATCCCACAACACAGCTTCGGGTGCCCCAGGGGGAGCATCTCGGATGAGAATCGGAGGCGTGTCGTGTGTACCCGTGTACATAACCAGTAAAACGTTTTTCAACGATTCGCGGACCGCGTCAGTCTGGAAAAGTGCAAAACAACGAGATTGCAGTATAAACAAAGCCGACAGCTACAAACATTCGAATAAACGAGGTTGTCAGCCTATTTCAGATTATATGATCGCCCTCTCTCAATCAATAGCAAAATCTGGGAGGTTGGTCCGGGTATTTGCCATTATTTAGGTGATGACGAAATTGAACACGAACGCGATACGGGGTAAACATGGCCATTATTGGTATCAAACGAGCTCATCAATTTTAGTAGATCCTTGGTCGACTACTGGAGCGTCCCTTAGGGAAAAACAACCGAACAATGTGGAGCATTTGAATTCGGCTGTGAGGTTTTGTACTCAGCGGACCGTTACCGTTAAACAAAATTTCACGTGCATTTACCCTGTCCAAACGACCTCACGGAATGTATCATACCTCTTTGTCGTGATTTGTCCGAACTAACTACAGCAAATTCATACGGAAAAAACGAAATCATTAGGAAACATAGAACCGGATGCGCGACGCAGTCTATGCTGCGTCTAAAGCTCGAGAGTGTCTCCCCATGATTCTCTCCTCGGATGCCCTTTTCGTCAATCCGGAAAACTGTGTGAACTGCTGTCACAGTTGATCAGAAAATTTAAAAACAAACTCTCAACTGAAGAATGATGATGCTTCAGTTGAACTTATATCGCTTAGGTTTCAGTGTTACCGAACTCCAAGCACACCGGTCACTCACGCTCATCCAAGTTGGGTGGTGGTGGCGCAGTGCTTTAGTTGCAGTCACCGGCGTGCTATGGTCCGAGGTCCGAGCCCCGCCACCGCCATTCGACTTTGGTGGTAGGCAGCTCTGCTGTCATCCGGTTCAATACCACGCCTAACCTATCGTGGCCTTATGTGGTTTGCCACTCCAAGTTCTGGGGCTTACGTTGCCGGTTTCCACCACTGTGAAGCAGGTCCTAGTGACTATTGGGTTTACTCCGTCTGCTGTTCATTACACTTAGGCATGTAATAAAAAAAATCACCCAAAACCGTTTTTGCTTACGATATATCACGAATACGGTGCATCACGATCGGAGGCAAACCACGTTTTCCGGGTGAACGTGGACCATTCGAAATTTAGGAATTCGCAGGTGCATTCACATCAGGACTTGGCCCTCACACGCAAGTTCAATTTTTTTATTATCTGTCGTTGTGCATCAAACAGGTGCGAATGATTAGATTACTGTAGTTGTTAAACAAACCAGTGGTCTCCCACAGTCGATAAATAGTTCTTTCTGATTTGGAGGGAACAATATCAAAGGTACGCCAAAAAATCGAGCGAAGGTTCTGTGCTCTGAGAGAAGTTCCATTCCCTGGGAATTCGGGTTAGAAAAAGGGTTCCCAAGATAACTGGGGAAATTAGGGTAGTTTTTTCCTCTTTTTTTATTACACACTTCCGTGCGATAAACAGCAGACGGGGTAAACCCCATAGTCACGAGGACCTGCTACTCAATGATGGAAACCGGTTATCTAAGCCCCGGGGCTTGGAGTGGTGAACCACATAAGGCCTCGCTAGGTCAGGCGTGGTATTGAACCGGACGACAGCAAAGCTGCCGACCATCAATTGAGTATCAAACTCTGTAGGGCATATATCTTTAGAAGCTGAAAACTTGCAAAAACTCATACCCACAAACCACTGAATAAACGAAATTAGCAAGTGAGGATTTGTCCACAATCGATTTTCCGGTGGCTAGTTTATCAAACATATTGAATTTTGGAAGGTAAACAACTACACTAAAATACGTCAAAGACATTTCGTACGAGACAAGTGTGCTATCATCAGAGTTTTGAACTATGATACAACTATAGGCGACCATTAGTTAAAAAAATTCTATTGATACATAGCTAGGATCGAAAACGAATAATCTGTTGAACTTACCAAAGAATCCGAGCTGCTCGCTTGCATGTACTGTTCCATGTAAGCCAGCATCCGTGTCCAAAGGACGTGGAAGTTTTCAGACTCGTGAAGTGGGCGCAAATGTTGTAGAAATACTTTGGTTAGTAGAGGTATAGCACGCATTCGCGGATCCGCGTATTCCACAGCGTGATACTGGACGGATGAAGCTCGACCAGAGCGATTTGCTTTCGGTGACTTAGCGCTGTTAGCCACGGCAGCCGCTTCTTCCATGGCGATGCTCTCCAGGAAACCGGACAGTAACGGGAAGAGAACCTGAAAAGTGTTACAAAAGTGAGAAAATATATCACCGGTCACCAATTTGAATGAGTATCGAGGTGCATTCCGTACCTTAGATGTTTTATTCCATTCAAATGGCGTGTTGTTTAATCAGCTGGGTATCGGCCCCAAATGAACTGCGGCTTTCACACTATCTCACAGTTGAGAATTCCCCAAGCAAATTCACCTATTTCGGTCTGAGCAAACTGGAAGTATTACGCTTACAAACCTGTTTCTTACCTGGGAAGGTTTTTGCCATTACTTGTTCCGCCTACAGACTGGGCAAAGACACGTAAATATTAATAACCTCGGGGACAAGAATGAGTACAGTACGATTCTAATGCAATCCACTAAGTTCGTCCTAAAAACAATGCTATACGGTCATTTGAATTGACTTTTGAAATCAAAATCACTAAAATTTATCATCTCACATAATCAACAACAACGCGATATAATCCCATTGTTAGTGATAGCCGAGTGAAATAAAAGCATTTCTCCATGACAGTTAGCGAAACAACTGAGTAGATCACACACTCACCTGTTCGAAACAATCTTCCCACTGAGAACCAGACAGTGGATGCAGCACAGACGACAGAAGCACCCGATGCAAATAGGCCAGAGCGTCCGTGCGCACCTCACGTCGACAATCGCAGCACAGTCGAGCGATCGCTTGCAACAGAGGACGCCAACAGTTCGGCCACAAATAGTTCGCATCTACAGTCCCTGAATCAGTCCCACAGAGCGGACCAGTTGAACACTCTCCATTCGCATCAACGGATGCGTTGTCGGAAGAACTAGTCACGCCCGTGTACTTCCATTCCGTGTAGATTGATGTTGCGCGGGTCAACAGCAGATGAATAAGGTCGAGTAGCTAGAGAACAAAATAACCGAAATGGACAAAACGAGAGAAATACTTTGATTCATCTGTTGAAACCACTCCATTTATGTGTTCGTGTGAAGCAATGCAATCGGAAACACAAATAGAACACTGCTTTTGACAAAATATTGAAAATTGGTTCTCGTAGCTCGGGTGAACTGAATTCCATTTCGCCTGTTCGCCGAGCTTGGCAATTTGTTTGCGAACGTTTTATCACCAGCCAAGGTGGCATTATCAGTGCTTGTGAAGTGGCCACTTCACAGGTGAAATGGAGAAAACTGTTTTGTTTAGGGAGACACGGCGACCTGCGACCTACGGGGTCACGCGAGTAATTTCGCAATGTTAACCCAACTACTCATGAGTAGCGAGGTGGAAAACGTACTACTGTTAACTTTGACTGACAATTCATCAGACTCGGAGCCCAGCAACCTTGTTTCTTCATTCGAACACGCTCGGTAGGTTTTGAATTGTGGGAATAATGCAAATTTCGTTTTTAATTGTGACTGTCTGAAGTCATAAAGAGAAAACTAAAAACATCACATTTGAATAAAATTAACTCAGTGGTTACGGCTAGCCGCAGTGAAATGACTGACAAGAGAGTAACACACTCATCCCATTTGGGTGACCCTGGATGGAAGTTCTGCATCACAAATGAGCCCAATAAATCTCGAATCTGAGGCCCCATATGAGCATAGTTGAATGAAATTGTGAGAATGTCCATTTCGAATCAGTGTCAGGCAGGTTCAAAGTAGCCTCCTGTGATTTTTCATAGAAAAAACATCACATGAATCGGACTTCCGTACAGAAATCGGCGTTGATTCGTGAATACTATACGTTTCACCTATGAACCGACTGTGTATAGAATATTTCAATGTGACTTAGACGTCCCAGTATGAAGCACACAATTCTAGATTTATCCGGGGCTCCAACAAATGAGAATAAAGGAAAAACACAACGGGTTAGGTTCGCAAGCATCATATCGACGGGCAATTTGTGCATGACACCAGAATGGTACATCATTGATGATTCTAACTACTTTCGGTCTGGTTTTCGTTGGGAGAAATGTAGAGAATAGACTTCAATCTCACAAAGAGAACAGGTATTTCAATATGTTTGGTCATATTTTACGATGAAATGTTTGATTGGATGATCCTCATTAATCTGCTCACTCAGGCTTTGATTGGTGACGGAATAGAAAGCACAGTGGCGGTGCTGTTGTGATGCACGCTATTCTGGGGAGAAACCGGGAACGGCAAGTGTTTTATCATGCTATATCTAACGCATTTTGGTAGCTGTTAATTCGTGATCCCCGTTTCTCCCCGAATAACTTCGAAAAATCAACCTGGATTTATTTTGTTGACTAATTCTGAAAACGTCAACCACATCAGTTCAGTTTCAGTTTATACAACCATTAACCCTGCACTATCGTGCGCCGGTTTTGGTTGCTGTCTTTTGGTTGCTCATTTGGCTGATGAATAGGAGAAAGACAGGAAAGGCTAAAAGTAGGATTCAAGGGAAAATTTAGAATTTCAGTGGACTAGTGTTGCAGAGAAATTGACAGGAGGCAAGAACGCCATTGTTTACGACACGCAGCCATATCACTCAGTGTCTCTAACCATCGGTGACCGTCATCCCAAGGTACCCAGCCAGGGAGTCTAAGGGGACTTATGTGACCCAGACTCCTGTTCAGGGTTTTCATACCCTCATGCCAGGTCTTAGCTCAGCTCTGATCGCTGCCGCAAGTGAGCCTCCATCAAAAGCGACAGATCAAAATGGTTGTCATAGAGACGATTTTCTACGCTTCTATGCTTCGGTAAGAGACCAATAGGAACATAGCCCAGTTGACAGTATGGACATGCATTTGTAACTGATGTACAAAAAAGGGTGTTCGGAGCACAGCGGAGCAGACTGCATACCTGCACGGCAATCACACTGGTGGTTGGACTAAGTTGGACCTCACGAGTCCACGAGATTTTCTGTGCCCGACGTGCGCCCCGAATCTGCGGATCAAGCTCCAAATCCGAGTCCGAATCAGAATCCCGGTCGTGTGACAGTCCGGAAAATCCTGAGGCCGAAGAGGAAGCATGCAATTTTGCGCCGGATCGTGCTGATCGTCGGGGACTGGACCAAGACGTAGTATTGGTCTCGTTGATCGCATGCGACTTGCTCGGGATGCGAGACGCGTTGTCCTCCAGGAGTGGGACTCGATCGGACATCCATTTGGAATGTCGACGCAAACAAGTCTCGACGAAAACGCGCAAAGCAACCACACAATGCTGCGAAAAAGAAAAGGTCAAAACAAGTGGATTGTCTGAATTTGTTCGGAAATCTCAAGACTGAAAGGAACGAAGATGAAATACCATGATTACTAGTCATCAGGAAACAGTTTACCATCGTGACTGCATTGAGCAACCAAAGAGTCTGTAAAAATACACTGGTACATTCATATTGAAATTCTGAATTGGGTCAAACATGAAGTGGACATGCGGATACCTCCTCGATATTTCATTCGACGTTTCCTTTGTTCTGCTGTATGGGCAGAAGATCGTTGCATAAGTACATTCGAATCCTCCCCCAGTTCCTTGGAAACAGAACTGCATGGCACAGAAGTACACCGATTCCCCACTTGTGAACGTACCTGGAAATTGTCCGGTGTTATATGAGCAGGGTCACGCACTAGGAAGGCCAAACAGTCTGCCGCACGTTCCAAAGTGACCGCATCCCGTAGACCAATCCAAATGGGCAGAGCAAGCACGTCTGACGAGACCAGTTGATGGGGTTGGACGGAGCGCTTAGAGACGCGGTCAGTAGGCCTTGGTACTACAACAGACCAGGTAAGGTAATGGGTTATTTCCCAATCTACTAACTCATTGATATTCGGATGCAAGGCAGTTAATTTATAGTGCAAATATCGTCTTTAGCGCAAAAGCAGCAAAAAGAGGAGAGTATGGGGTACAGTTACTTACCTACTGACGGAGAGACATCCGGTCGTGCACAACCCGGGCTGATCAACGTGTCTGTCGGTTCCCCCACATCAACGACAATCCACGCGTTCACCGAATTTGCACGAATTGTAGAAAATGCACCGCTATCCGTCGGTGTAGAAATTTCGACGGCTTGAAAGTGTGTATCAGTGGTCGGTTTGGATCGATTGTAGGTAAGTTCCGAGGCTTCGCTATCACTTGTGTAGCCCCGGTCCGGATGTATTCCGGAATCGGTAGTACCTGAGCGCGTAGAGGTAACATCCTGCATGCTGGAATCTACGGAATGATTGAGATTTCCATGAATATGAAGGACAGGACATAAGCAAGAAAATTATATAAAAGGATGCGTGGTACTGCAACAGAGTAAAACATTGACTAAATGAATAGGGGTGGAAGCAATACGTACATGTGGGATTGGTAGTTCCAGTAGCAGTAACGTACAAAATCTAATGAATGAAATTCATCAAAATCACTTGATTAGATTCTGTAAAACACTATTTCGATTTTACAAACCGAGTCCAGTGATATTTGTGCTGTCCGAGAGGCATGAATAAGGATGTTGTTGATCACATGTTTAGTACTTATCCGAAAGCGGTATCACGTTTCTGTTTCGGGCAGGTGGTACTCAATTTTTACCGAATGGTTGACTATAACTTGTTTGAAATCTTCCCTTCCCTACTAATCTTGCATTCTTGAAACAAGTCGTAACACGTCGGTCTAACAACAACGATACACGTTCGACAAATAAACAGATAAAGAAAAAATAGTTCGCAACACTCCACTCCACCCCACCCAAAAAAAACTGGAGCACTTATACAGCAAACAAACACATAAATTACATGTGCTCATTTCAGATATCGTGAATAATTTTAAGCAATCAACGGGACTAGTTGGGGCGTATGGGCGTGCAACTCCGGACGAATGAATATGCTATGCTGAAACAGATAAACGCATACATTTGCAGGCGTTAGAACACCGAAGTAGGTCATTGGTAAGTAAAGAAAACGGAACAAATGTAAAATGGTCAAGGAAACTAGGTGATACAACGGGAACCAATGAGAAGCGCGATGAAAAAGGTCACAAATTAATGGAAAAGTCCTTTTGTTCCGCTTATTTTCGAATCAGGTCGAACGATGCATCTGGTGGAAGTCTTAGGGATGGAAGTACAAACGCGGAGAATAAACAGCACTTACGATGGGGATGACGATTGGCCGGTGGAGCACGCATGCCAGCTCCGCACACTTCGAGCAAACCGAACACTAATTGCCAGTCGGTACTGGGGTCAGGCAAATCCGCGGCATGATTACGCAGAAGATCGGTTAGTCCGGCCACAATCTGCAAACCGACTCCGTTTCGAGCAGGTTCGTTGCTGTCTTTTGATCGGGCTGAAGAAGGACGACCAGCAGTATTGGGAGACTTGTGAGCGGCACTGGTTGTCGGATGATGTGGTGAACAATCCAGGAGGAGCTGATCCCCTTTCGTCCACATAATGTAGTACAAACAGGAGAAGATCTACAAAACGGAAAAGAGTCGGAACAGGGTCAGTTTTTTTCAGTTTGAACAGCCATAAACCATGCACTTTTGTGCGCCGGTTTTGGTTGCTGTCTTCTGGATGCCCATTTGGAAAAATAATAGAAGACAGAAAAGCTGAAGGTAAAGTCGAACAGAAAATGGAGAAGTTCAGTGATCTAAGATTGCAAAGAAATTGAGAAGATGCAAGAACGGAATAGGGTCAAAGTAAGAAAATTCAGCTATATGCGTTATTCATACGTTGAAGTGGAGATTGAACAACCGTTTTTGGATAATCAGCCAAGATCATACCTGGTGCAAGATACCGCCATAGGTAGCACATCCTAGTGGGAGTAACTGGTGAGCGTGTTTGGCACAAAGAGAACGGTAATTACGGAAGTACTTCAGCTTACACTCGTGCACAGATACACGAATGTGGACAGTGGATTGTATAAATAACGGATCAGAAAAAGGACAGCAATAATCCGAGAAGACATTGTCAAAGTTAAGTCCGATTGACACGGAGGGTAGGCGTGTCGAAATAATGGGAACGGGCAAGGCTGGTCAAACAAACGAGGAAGCGTTAAACGTTAATTTGTGTAATGAGGCGAGCGTCGAAATAGAAATAAGATGTTTAGTGAAGGCAGTTTCATTTTTTGATAGACCAGTAGCGACATTTGTGAATCAGAGTAATCTTGAAGGAAGCCAATCCGCTTGATACAGGCCCCAGAGATGAACTCCTAATTAACGGCAAAAACCTACACGTGTGGCTCATCTGTCTTAGTATGGGAAAAGGTGAAATCAGACTCGAAAAGCAAGTCCGTGCATCATGCGGAAAACAGTAGCAATAGCGATTGATGAGTAATCCCATGAATACGTGAAATATGTGCGTTTATCCTATAAATGTCAAGTGATGAACAAACATGCGGAATTGGACTAACCTGACTGGTCATCTCATGTCGACGTAGAAGACATGTGGCCAGTCGGAGAAAACCGACAACCACGCGTTCAACCAATGGGCCGGGTTCCGGTGCAGTGAGCAACAGATCAGCCAGATAGTATTGCACATTCGGCCAGATAGTGGTCATTCGGTCTCGATTGTGCAACAGCACCCGCACAAGCAACTCCAAACAGAAAATTCGACAATCTTCAGTAAGCATGACCCCACCACCGCTGGCAAAGAATGTGGGATAGTAGGATGCCGTGGGGGTGGGTAATGAGAACGCGGGAGCAGCATTGGTCACGGTTGGATGAGAGGGTGCTGGCATTGTCATGCTCCGTTTGAGTGTCGCATGTGAAAGGGGATCCGGGGTAGCTGGTTCTCGATCGGTCGGCTCGTTGGGCGTGGAACGACCGACACTCAAAGAATGCGTCGAATCCGATAACGTGTTCGGTTCTAGCGAGGGGGGTGTTTCAACATTTGGACTGGATATGGGGGACTGTACAGGGGCTGTCTGATTTGCGTCCTCAGGTGCATGCCAATCGGAAGAACCATTAGTTCGAGCCGGAAGCGATGAGTATGCATCACCGCGGATCGCACGAAGTAGTGCCTTGGTGTGATTAATTAAAACGAATATGAGATGGAGGAAAGAAAATATTGATAAAGGCATTTAGTGCACATGAACGAAATGGGAAAAAAATCAACAAACAAAGCAATAACCCACCACAGTAAACAGACATTATCAGCGTTTATCATCAGCCATTTTAATTGGCACCTGGATTTCGATGAATAAATCGTGCATTTATTTCATTCCATTTCCCGTGATACACCGAGCACTCAAGGCGGACGACAAATTGTGACCTATAGCAAACCAATACTCACTTTAATCAGCTCCACCAGCGACGCATCTACCAGAAACTTAGTATCCTTGATCAGCTGGGCAATCTCGCACTGAGCGACTGTATCCACTGCCAGTCGCGTTGCAGCACTGTCGTCCAACTGACCCCCAGCAGCCATTATCGAACCAATAGAGGTCCAGTAACTGGCACTGAACTGCTCCAGTCGACGACCCTGCCATTCGTTGTGTGTCCCAGTCGCGTCATGATTTCCCCGACCGGCTGCGTTCGAGTGGTCCGTTTGGGAACAGTTCACCCGATCATCACCATCCTCCTCGTCTCCATCCTCGTCACCAGATCCAGTCCAAGCGGATCCCGTGGTGAGGTATTGATAGAATGAGCTGAACACGCTGACTTCCCTGTCATGGAAAAATGGCGTATGGGGATTCGATAAAGAGAGAAACAGAACGCCACGTGAGAACCTCCGAAGGGCAAGAAACCAAAACAATCGAACTGTTTTTTTCTCAATACCTTGAGACATACCAATTCAAAATGACAGAGCAATATCAGGGTTTCCGTTTGTAGTACAGGATGATGAGTTCTGTCTTCGAGTAGTGTAGCTGACGCTATCGGTTGACCACCAGTAATAGAGCCCTCCTGATTGAGCCCCTGTTTCATCTTCAACAATTCTTGCTTCAGACGTCTGATCTTTTCTTCTGGAGGAACAGAGGCAAGTAACGGATCGAGTAATTGATCTATTTTGTAGAATCCGTACGGCGTAAGATTGTACAATATGTTGAGTTACTGGACCTAACGCAATAAAATCGCAATGACGGTCAATAGATATCGGCGAATTAAACCTCTGGGTGCGAATAGCCCTCATCGATAAGCAGGTTGTGAGCGCTGTATTGGACAATGGCTTGGACTCTACGGTGATTCTGAGAGATGTGGCAGAGAACTTAGGACTGACAGGCAGTCCGAGTATAATACACGTTTCTACCTTGAACTGCCGTCCCGCTTTACCAACTGGTAGAATGGAGGTCTGTCAGTTCCACAACACCAAGACCCCAAGAGACTCATAAAGGCGTGGATAGTCGATCGGCTACGGACAGTCACCCTGTTCATGCCTGACACGAAACAGCTTTCTTGTTGGAAGCGCTGGGCCGACCTACCGAAGAGAGCTCAAAAATTGACCAAACGGTTTTAGATTCGTTGGAGAAAACACTTGCCCCGTCTACAGACAGAAAATCGGTGTTTGAGACGTTGAAAAAGCCTGAATTTCGGCGAATTGGTTCTTATGACCACCCAGAATGTGTCCAGGGAGCAGTGGAACAAGGATGTAATAATCAGAACCGTTGAATCAAATGATGTGATAGGAGATTTACATGCGTATTCATTACGGAATTTATCTGCGGCATGTACGTCAGCTCTTTCGTCTCGAAGCTACAGAAGGCAGATTTTACAGATGTGATTCATGGAGGTAACATGGACTAAAAGGACTACTTGAGTAAGACCTTCCTGGGAAGGATGTTGATTCCCTCCGGTTACCAAATGACAATTTTATCGATGTGACTCTCAGCCCGGTTGGCTGCCCTACATATTATTGTCTTTATGGTTACACATCTGTTTATCACGTCTTTCTCTAATCGCTTTTGCTTTCTTGCGTTCAATTTGCCGTACCCTTGCCTATCGTTGCCCTTGTATTTATGCGTTTATACTATTCTATGGGTTCTATGGGATCGATAAAATAGTCATTTGATAATCGAAGGGAGTCAACAAGCAGATTAAACGAACTAGTCATAGGACCGTGCGTTAATAACAAAGAATAGATGGGTCCTTGAAACCACTCGCCTGGAGCATTCAGGTGAGGTGTACATTTTTTTATTATTCACCTAAGTGTGATGAACGGCAGACGGAGTAAACCCAATAGTCACTAGGACCTGCTGCTCAGTAGTGGAAACCGGCAACGTAAGCCCCAGAACTTGGAGCGGAAAACCATATAAAGCCACATTAGGTTAGGCGTGGTATTGAACCGGATGACAGCAGAGCTGCCTACCACCAAAGTCGAATGGCGGTGGCGGGGCCCGAATCTCGGACCATAGAGTCCAAAACACGCCGGTGACAGCAAATAAACCGCTGCGCTATCACCACCACCACCGGGCTGGTCAATGTTTGATGATTCATTAAACTAACTTGACGCGCCCATTGGACCGACGCACCAAGGTGCACTAAACGTCCGTGTAAGTCCCGGTCCGCCGCGGTTGTTTATAGTGCTATTGTGAAAAATCCCGATCCAGCTGCCACAGAAAAGGAATGAGAAAGAAAATATTAGAAAGAGCGCTCCAAAACACCAATCCCTATTTGATTGAGTTCGATGAACAACACCACAGTACGATCCGAAAGCATCGGTACGGTCGAGGGTGGGTGCTTTGGGCTATAACCGGTCAATATTCCATTGCGCCTCGCGAAATTTTACTTTTTTACTTTACTGTGGCTGGCTGCTCGAAGAGGATGAATCGGCTTCATGAGTGGCAACATAATGATGGATTTTCATTACAGTTTTGCACGGGAAATGTCCCTATTGTTACTCGTTTTATTTTTATTCGAGGGCACATCTCTAGTCTTCGCACAATAAAGATTATTTTCCTTCGGGTGATTGACAATTTTCTGCTTCATGTGGTGCGGTTGGAGCAATTGTGAACCACCGGTTGAAGTCACTATGACTGACAAGCGTTGAGCCCTGCGGTTCGAGATTCATACCGTGCCACCACCACTACCAACCAACCCGGATGGTAGATAGCAACCAGTTTATTGGGTTTCAATGTGGTTTACCACTGCAGGACTCGGGGAGTAAGTTGCCGGTTATTATTAGCAAGTCAGGGCTGGAGAATGAAGCCGTNTGAAGCCGTTTGAATACCACCACCACCATCAATACCCTAAATGATGGAAGGAAAATTCAATTCTATGCTTCTAAATCCCTAAAACTGTTCAATGGACCAGATAGCATCTGTGACCCAAGAAGACAAAGAGACAAACCTAAGAGGTCAACGCGAACGGATAGGAAAAACACCGAATAAGCGTCAAAACGAATTTCAAACGGATAACAAGATGCGCTATGATCGTGGTTACCTGTTGGCTCCGCCTGCGGAGTTTCCGCGACTTCCCTTCCCGCCACGTGATTTGGCCTCGATTACAGGTGCACAACCGCGAGTGGTCAGCCGTACACGATGCGATGGACTGACAAAATCTTCCGCCTCGACCAGTTCATCCGGCAACAGACTGGCACGGAACAGCTGAAGCAAGCAATCCAGCAGGGAATGCCAACCGTATCGCAAAATGTCCGCGTGATTCGCCGTAAGCGCAAACACGAGGCGAAGCGCAAGTAAGGCTTTGTTATTACGACCCAGTGACACTGACAGTGTGGACGGATTCTGGAGAGGTGGTTAGAGGGAAAAAGAAACAACGTGAAGCATGACAAGATCCGGAACAATGAAACGTAAAGACATCTAAACACTTCAGGTAACCAAACACACACACACACACACACACATACATACATACATAAACACACACGTATAGATACATCAGTCGGAAAAGATTCAATAACGATTCGTGAACAGCTGATTCAACAGGCTCCATAGTGACAGAGAACTAGCCTATTCATCTCAATCTTGGTTGGACCAGAAATGATACCGATCTCTTCAAATCGGTAGAAATATTTCCTGGGGATTTTACTGCTGCTCCGAATCCACTGTTGCAATATGGTAGCATACAATAAATCATTGTGAATCATAAACTGAAAAGTGAAAAAAAATCGATCAATGTGTATGTGTGTGAAAACTTCCAAGGAAGATGCTCAAACGCAGACTACCAGGAGATAGGAAGAGGCTGAGCGGTTGCTGGAGTTTTATATCCACGATGGAACAAGGATGAAGGGGAAATTCCTAAATGGCACCCCGTTTCAAGCCCCATGAATTTCCATCAGGTGATAGGCCTTACTCCGAATGGACCTCGCGTGTGTCGTATCTGGGAGATAGACAACTAAGTGTTGAGTTCACTGACGGACATCTACCACAGCGTGTTCATCACCTGTCGTAGTCACAGTTTATGAAAATTTCGTGGAGCCGTGCTCGTAGTCGGGCCCCGTCTGGAGAAACCTGTTCCGTTTGCAACAACGCCCATTTCGAATTTCAGAAACCTTGTGAGCACATAAGAAAAGCAACGTCAAGAGAATAACTTACGTCTCCGATTGTCAACAGTGTGGTGAATTTGCACAGAGAAATAACCAGATTGTCCAACACGTCGCTCATACCGTGATGTGCAGCAATCGCGGCTGAACGAATGAAACCGTCCACTGCTTTACTTTGTACGGCCGGGTCTGACGTCTTGTCAAATATGAACGACAGGGCGGAAACGGTCGGGCCCCAGATAATGTCGAACAGGTCCGGATCCAGAGTACCAGTCTGGACGTGAATGAAATCCGCCTGGGAAGTCAAGGCACGCCGCAATAAACACTAAAATGTAAACAGGAAATAGAAAAGGGATCAGAGGACCGAAAAGATGAACTCATCTTCAGGAAACAAATAGGTACCCGTAAAGAAGATAAAGATGAGAGGAAAGGGAACAAATATAAACCTACCTTCCACAAGTAGTTTTCACGGACGAGTCCCGTTTGTTCACTAGGCATCACTATTTCATTTTTGTTAATACTCATGTAAATTGCATCCAAAAGTTTGGGATCGAAATCCCCAGTACCGTTCATACCTGAAAAGAACAATTAATTCGTTAGATAAGCTAAAAGCAAGGAAACAGGATGATTGATCGATTGATTGGTTGATTGATTGATTGGTTGGTTGGTTGATTGATTGATTGATTGATTGATTGATTGATTGATTGATTGATTGATTGATTGATTGACCAGTCGATCAAAAAACCTACCACTTAAATTCTTTTTGAAATCAGACGCTGTCATAGGCGCATTTTGTTTCTTCGAGTTCGGATTATGCTGGTCCGTATTGAGCATGAGGATAGCATAAGCCAATGTGAAGGCGGAGTCGACATCAGCAAACGGTTTATCATTTGCGCAGTACCAATGTTCAGCAAAATGCTCCATAACTCGTTGGATTAGGGGGGCCTCTCCAGGTAATCGGAATGCCTCCAAATAGACCCGTAACGCTTCATCTATTTGAACACCTTTGAAATTAAATTGTCTGAAATCGGGTGAAGAACAACATCAATGAGGGTCTATGCCATATCAGAATCTCGCTCAAATTGGAATACTAATTCAATTACATAAAAAGAACTCCCAAAAAGTATGACTGATCACCTCTACATTTTGAACGATTATTCTGGTTAGTTTTTGAATCCCATTATCACTTCAATGGTAATGGACTTAAGAATTGAAAAACGCGGAAGTCCTTTGCGAAAGAAATCAATCGTACTGTGTACAGAATAAAATAACTAATCCTGATTAGACCAATCAACAAAAAAGATAGACAGGGAAACATAGCGAACGAATGACAAAGGGGAGTCCATACGGGATACAACGTCGTTTGCGACGATTGGTCTCCAATCGCAATACTGCATGTTTCATAAGCAAAATCTCAGCCATGTAATAGCACTAACGTTAAAGCCCCCCCCCCCTCCCTAC